ACGTTCTCACCACAACCTTTCCACCACCACCACCCCCCCTCCCCCTCCCCCTCCACTTCCCGTCGAAACTGGGAATGATCCCTGCCCAATCCGGTGTCGTCTAAGATCCAAGTCCTTCGCAACGCAGCGCATCGGCTACCTATATAGCATCACCCTATTCCTCCTGCTCGCAGCTTTCCTCTCATCTTGGAATACTGTTCGTCGCATCCCATCCAACCGTTTGATCCAAACGCCCAACTCCGTCCCCGCCTGCTTCTCTCCAGCATTGTTTCTATCAGGTCACCAAGATAATCAGCGGGAGCCAGCAATCGTCTCACAATGGCGGTCCTTTTCACAGTCATGTTCGTCTTCTGGCGATTTATGGAGATCCTTACCTTGGTAAGTCTATTCCGCTGCGTCCGGCGCTCTCAGCCCGCGATGCCCAATTCGTTCGACGACGACAAGACAACAAATTGCTGACTCGGGGTGTCTCACAGATCCCCACAATGGGCATGCTGGCGTACTTTGTACACGGCTGGGTCCAGAACAATCTCTTGACGCCGAATTATATATTGATATTATTCATTGTGTCGGTGTTGGCGCTGGCGTGGGCGCTGGCGACGCTGTTCATGTACCACAGGAGCAGCGCCAATGCCCTGTTCGTGTCCATCGTGGACCTGCTCTTCGTCGGCGCCTTCATCGCCGCCGTCTACTACCTGCGCTTCATCAGCAACGCCGACTGCACGCACATCACGCGCGGCGACAAGTGGGACGTCAGCTTCGGCATCTTCGGGTCCGTGTACGGCAACTCGCTCGGCGTCCACGTCGACAAGACCTGCGCCATGCTCAAGGCCTGCTTCGCCTTTGGCATCATGAACTGCATCTTCTTCTTCTTCACCGCCATCCTCGCCTGGTTCCACGGCGACCGCGTCGCAAAGGACCGCCGCTACGTCCGCGAGACACACTACCACCGCCACGGACACCGCCACTCCGGCAGCCGGAGCCGTCGGAGCTCGCACTCGCATCACCGCGTCTACGTCTAAGGTGGGATGTGTGCGAGTAGCTCGACACTGGGCGAGCATCTTGTGACAAAATTAAGATAATGTGCAATCTTGGGATGGATTTGGATTGGGTCGGATTGGACTGGGACTGGTATGGCCGTGCGCCGAGATGTTGGATGGACGATACGGATACCAATGGACGCTTCTGTTCTACGACTTATGACTTACACGGCACCTAACGGTGTCGAAAACGAATCGGCGTCTCGCATGAAAGAGTTCTGTTACTTGAGATTATGGCCTTGGTGCGGTTGATCCTTACCATTGGCCCTGCAACTTAGGCATCTATGTTAGCTTAGTTTCCTGTTAATGTATGCTTATTGGTATCCTACCATATTCTCCCCCCGTTATTTCGTCTTATGTGATCCTGCGTAGTGCTGCTCAGGCCTTAGGAGCAGAATAATGGCTGCGATCAATGGAAGTGCTGATAGATGTCTTCTTGATATTGAGGACATGGTTGGCATCGTTTAAAATGAATTAACTTCGGGGTAGTGTGTGCAGCCGAGGAATTCACTTACGAGCATTCACTTAAAGTATGAAGGCACAACCAGATAAAAGTCACAATCATGTAATGGAGCTTGCATTTTGTCCATTTTGCTCGAGGCGAGACCTTGAATTCTCTATGTACACCATCGCGCACATGGCCCCATTGTGAAACCCAGCAGAAAGTCAGACCAACTCCGGCGGATGATGGATATCGTTACACATCACGTTTCCCATTTCAAAAAGCAACACACACACACACACACACAAGTCTTCCGCGATACCGCATGTTGAATATATCTGCATCACATGAAGCTACTTCATACATGACAGCGTCACATCTGCTTCCCCACGCTCCCACCATCCGTCCTCTAGGCAGCTAAGCAGCTTGAGGAGGCTTAGAAGCCCAGAGCCTGGTTGAACGCCGCAGCCGTGCTGGCGTCCTTGGTGCCGAGCGAGGCGACGAGCGCCTTGGCCGTCTGGCAGACGTCCTTGGCGGCCTGGTTGGCCTCGCAGACGTTGGTCAGCTGGTCGCAGATGCGGTTGGTGATGATGTTGGGGTTCAGGGCGTCCTGCTGGCCCTTGGCGACGAGCTCGTCAATGGGCAGGAAGGTGCCCTCGTCGGCCTTGCGTCCGGTGCGGCCGAACTGGAAGTCCATCTGCGGGTCGCACAGGCCGAAGTCGACGCCGTCGAGAGAGGTGGTCGCGCCCGGGTTGGCACCGCCGCTGGCGCCGGTGTCAGCGGCAGCGGAGGTCGCGGCGGCCTCGGCGGCGGTGGTGGTAGCGACCTCGGCAACGGTGGAAGAGACATCAGCAGTGGCTGAGGCGTCTGCGAGGACTGTGGTGGTGATGACGGCGCCGCCGCATGAAACGGCGGCCGCGCTGGTGGTTGCCACAGCAGCTGCGGATGTGGTAGCAGCGCTGTCGTCACCGCCCGTGCCGCTACCAGCGTTGGCGGCAGCTCCGTTGACGGTGAAGTTGCTGAAGCCTTGGTCAATCATGACGTCGGCAACAGACTTGCCGGTGGCATCAAAGGGGGTGGTGACTGAGGCGGCCGAGTTGGCGTTCTCGAGATCGGAGCCCACGACGGCCGGGTCGATCAGGGGAACAACACCACGGAGCTCAGCGGTGGCAGGAAGGCTGGCATCTCCGCAGATGTTGGGAACAGAGACAACAAAAGGGTTGAAGTTCTGCTCGGCGGCAACCAGCTGGATCGCGCCAGAGATGACCGCAGGGTCAGTGCCGAGAGTGGTGACGATCTTGTCAGCAAGCTCGAGCTAAGGGAGTTTATTAGCAACTGTGTGAAGAACCACTTGAAGGGTAGTATAGCTTACCTTGGCACATGGATCAGCAGCGGCGAGGAGGACACCGGGAACACCACCAGCCAGAGTGGCGGCCTCACCCGGGTTGCCGAAGTTGCTCAGGGCGGTGATGAACTGGACCGGGGTCTGCTCCTGGCCGAAACGGGCCTCAGCGTAGGCAATGAGGGCGGAGAGGAGGAATGCCTTGGACATCTTGACAAGATTTCGAGCGGTCTTCGTGGAAGATTTTGTTAAGATCAAGCGAGCAAGAATCGTTTATAAAACCGAGCTAGCGGCGAGAGAAGGTATATTGGCAATGAAGTGAAGTCGAAAGAGCGGACAGCCGAAAGAGCGTCGAGAACGAAAAGTTCACAGAACTGTAAAGAATGAAACCACGAAGGAGAGTTTGAAAGCTTGATGGAGAAGAATAGAAAATGGAACGTCAGATCTGTGTGGACGGGTAAACCGTTATATACAGCTGAGGCCGAGGATGATGAGCCGCAGTGATGGGCGACGGGCCATGATGAGAGACGACAGGGGTCTCGATGAACCTTGCGGGGGTATGTGTGCTCCCTCTCCTCATGGCGATCATACTGATGCATTGGAAATGAGATGGTGCGGCATGAAGCCTGAGACCATGGGCAAGCCTGGTGTGTGTGTGTGCATGCATACGCCTGGGGTCCGTATGCTCTTACCAGGACATGGTATGGAGACGGCCTTCGTCCGATGTGAGCTTGGTGGGACAGTGGGCTGCATCACTCGATTTGCACCTGGAATCCCACCAGGGGAGAAAGCCATGTTCTTCCAGATCCATGCGGTCTGGATACTGAAGTGTCGTCTGATTCGAATGACGCCCCCCTCGGCAAGCCAACCGAAGGGGCGCTCGGTTGTGGGTCAGGCACAAGGGGGGATACGCTCTCGGCCTAGACCCTTGCCCAGGTGCCTCATCTTGCGACAGTTGGGTTAAGTAGCCCTGGTATCGGAGAAGAAGAAGGAATCCAGGAGCCACCAAGGAGATGGAGATCTGACAGACCGAGAGGCTTCTTGTGAGGCAATCTCGGTTGGTGATGGGTCTTGCTGTCCTGGACGTCCCCGCAGGCCGAACACGATGCAGCGGTTGGTGGACGTCATTTAGCGCCAGCTTTCTTCGGGTCTCGTTCCATGATGCCCTTGGCAACTGGGACTACCGTATGGAGCCTCCTACATCGTATTCGTGCGATGTCGTGTAGTGCCCAAGAATTGTGTTGCGATTGTTTCTAAGCATCCACTCTCTTCATAGGCGAAGTTGAGTTTTGTTGGCGAGAGTCTGTGCCCTACTAATTACTAGTGAATTTGGGCAGGCGTCCAGATCTTTTCTGAAGAGCGAAAGCGATCATGTTTCCGCTTGGAAACATTGCCCGAATGACCCGGGTTGGTGGGCCAAATAGCCATCATTTACTACCCTGAATTTAAACTTCTGAATGAGCGACAGAGATTCCACAATTACCGCGTTTCTGGACAAAAACAGGATCATCTATGTCGATGCTTGAAGATGCCGTGCCGCGTTTATGGTCTCCATACATAGTCAACCACACGATAGAGTTGAGAGCCTGTCAATTTCAGGCGAGACGGCACGATTTCGCGCGGGACTGTATGCCAAGCAAGGTGAATTGAACGAATCACTGTCTGAATAACCTTAAGCCCTTGGCCTCGTCCTTCGGCAGACTTGTCAATTGACTCTCAACACGCTTTGAGTAAGCATCTTTTAGGGCTTGTTCGGGAAGGACTCGCTTCGACTGCAAAGAGGGTCTCCTCGTGGGCTCCTAGCGGCATCCAGCCAGTCACCGGCCGCAAAATTGGCGTCGCTTGACTTTTCTGGTAGCTCAAACAGCCTCATCAGGGGTCCTGAGACGCCTCCGACACTCGCCCTGTTTGAACCCTGCCGCGCTGGGGCGACCCGGAGATCTTGCCTCAATCTCGGCCGGATGGCTTCAACTTTGGACTAGCCTAGCTTTGACTTTTCTTGTCTTTGTTTTCTTGTGAAGCTGTCGTGGTTTTTCCGCCAAGGAACGCTGGCCTCGGCCTGGGTGCCGCACTACGGACATTTCTTGAGGGAAATTTGCTGCACAGCGCGTGCATTTCTCAGACGAGTGGAATAACACTCTCCAGGAACCGCATCCTCCGCTCGGAAGCCGCGACACTTGATTGATTGTAAAATGTGTAGGCTTAAGGAAGTGCAGAGCCACTCTGATGTTCGACCCGACGGCTTTGCCGTCACAGAAGCCCACCCGTCTGAATTCGAGCGTTGGCATGCAAAATCAGTATCATCCTACTGCCTCTGACTGTTCACATTTCTCATCTATATTCAAAGATCAGTGCATTTTTCGCCATGGTGGCATCATTCGAAGGCTATTCTGATCTGATCTGTCCTTTTAAGACCCATCCCGCATAGCTGTAGCTTTGCCTCCTGCTCTCGTTGTCCCGCTCTCGTTGTCCCGCTCTCGAAACAACCCTACCCCATTTCTGTCTGCAAAGTCCAGCCCGCCCACGAGGTTTGTTCGAAGAAAGAAAGAAATCCAGGAATTGTCCAGCGATCCAATGCGATCATTGAGGCAGACTGTTTCCGTGCCATCTTACGGGCCAGAAAACGCATGACACAAGGGCTCACTATAAGGTCCGTGACGGCCATCTCTGCGACACGAACCGGATTTCCCATCAGTTTGGTCACCATCATGCTGAAATCCATCCCAGCCACGATTGAAGACATTTCTGCTTTGAATACACAGCCTCTTCAAACCACAAAGCACCCAACATCGGATGTCTGCGATCCCATCTTGGCCGCGACCCTCTTGCCAATGTCCAAGATTGGCAATGCAGCTATATTGGTTGCTTTTACACCTATTCACTGACACGTCTGCCTCTTAGTGAAAACGCGACCTTCACTTGATAGGTTAGATCTGCACAACCTACCATCATAGGTCACATGGCCAAAGCTATCCCGACTAGTTGGACAATCAAACATCATCGACACAAGGAGCGTCTTTCCTCTCTGCAGACACAGTTTCCTAACCCAGAACACACGGCACGATGCATTGATTGCTCTGTGCCTTGTCCCTGTTCTCGTCCCAACGTCCCCAGACAAGTGGCACCGTCTGATCTTCCCATTAAGGTTTGTAGCAAAAACTGGCTCTTCTGACCTGGTTCATCCCAAGCCGTTTCTGTGGAGTGGTTTGAAGTTTATACTGTAGATCATCAGCGAGGGCGATGACAATGGGGATTTGACAATCAATTGGCAGCATTATGAGCAATCAGCCGTCTCCATTCGAAACATCAATCATGGGTCAGCTGCAATTATTCTCTGGGTAAGTTCATGAACAACTCGGTCAACGATCATCCATGGCCCCGAAGAAGAATGATACCAACTTCAATGAATTTCTCCTTCTTTTCGCTGAGAAGCCTTATGTCTATCGTTTGATCGGATCTCAAAAATAAAAACTTAAAAAAAAAATCTCCGCGCAAGAATGCATGAAATAGGTATTACGATTAAAACTGCAAGCCCTCAACACCACTGTCTTCTCCATCTTCATCAAGAACACTATCCAAATTACTCTGCCCTTCTCCGTTTTCGTCTTTGCTTGGAAGTGGCTGGAGATAGTCCCTATGCTTTGGATGAGGATGACTCACGAACCTCCTGAATCTCTGGGGGCTCCTTTCCCACCTATCAAGAGCAGCCTTGTATAGGAACTCTGCACATCTGTCAATTGCGGCCTCAACGTAGGTCCCGTCGTTGAAGCGAGAATTTGTGCAATAATGCTCCGTCTCTTTGAAGATCCTGTCAAAGGTATCGTACCTGTACTTGTCTGGTCTATACCCGCTTCTCCATCCGCTGGTTTTGCGCGCTTTGCGATCATCCTCCATGGCCTCAAGCTGCAAATCTCGATGCCACTGCGTGTCATCGCTAGCTGAGCTTGTCGGTGATTTGGCCCGGTCTCTGTTTGATGGTTGTTTCCTCCATAATCGGGTTCGTTTGCACTCGTTTAATTTCATTCCAGCTAAGCCATCATGTTCTGTACTCTCGGGCTTCACATCAAATCGCCAATATTTCGCCTCCGAGCCGGAAGCCAAGTTTTGAATATGCGCGTGTACCCTAGCAGTCTCGGTAATAGATCTGCGAGACCAACGCAGCAGGTTGGTGAGACCAAACCGCGATTCAGCATGTGCTGTGCCAGTTCCTAGGCTCACCAGTGCTTTAACCTCACCGTTTTCCGGTTGCCACCTGTTCCACATCCAACGTGCTTCGTTCCATGCTAAATCTGCTGGGTTATTATTTCCAACGCCACCATCCATGTAGTACTGGTCATCGATGACCATGTGCTTGAAATACAGGGGTGCTGCTGTCGAAGCTCGACATGCTTCCCAAATCTTGGGCCCACCTCCTTTCCGCAGTTTACCAGGGTTCAACTCAGAATCATGGGTAGCAAAACGGTCATTGTGGCTATAGCTTCGGAACATGTATGTAGCATCTCCCTGTTTTTTCCGCCGAATAGCTATGAGAGCTCTGCAAAGTGTGTCAGTTTTTATTGCACGATTACAGTTCGTAATGGAAGTTCACATGCATACACCTTACAGCTATAGTTGCAATGTTCCTTGTATCCTGGATCATATTCTTCGCAGTAGTCGTATTGCTGCAATAGCTCATCCGTCCCGTTCCCATTACAAGGTCGTCCGGGATGGCAACCGCAGAACTCTCGAACAACCTTTTTAACGCTTTCCTCGAACTTCACATGATCGTAGAGAGAAATATATCTCCTCGGTCTAAATATGTAGTTGCTAAGAATCCAATACTGTTTGATTGCATCGTCAATGCTCATCCGAAGTCTCCCCAGCATGACAGCAATGAGTCTAGAGACTTGTCAGTTGAGGTTGTTGAGCATGACTTCGCAACATGGAGAGTCCATACCCGCCAGTGCTTGTGCCTACCATGAAATCAAAATACCAGCATGGTAAGGGAACTTCGGCGCCACATTCAATTGAAACGCTGTGTGAAGGATGCAACTGATGGGTAGGTATCGCGCCGGATCTCACTGGAGATCTTGTGCTGGGTCCACTCGACAACACGCAGCGGTCAGCACTACTACGGACTATTGGTCCCAGCAAGGCTTTTGCACTTGCAACTGGGTCATTGCCATTTTGCTTCGTTTTTTCCTGTATCTTGCACATAATTCTACGGAGGA